GGGTCTGAGTTTCACTCCTTTAATTGAATTATTGCTACACTGAGATGTAAAAATCTTTAAAACACAATATCTTTCCACAGCGGTAACAACAGCAATCCTCCAAGAGACCAAAACACAATTATTGGAGGTATCAGTTTTTACTCAAGTTACTCTTCTTGTCACTTTTAGGACACAGTTGGATTCTAAAGTCATTCTTTATTTTATTTTCCTTTCAGTGGTCGTGTTTGCCATGGTGGTGACGTTGATTGTTATTGCTTTCATACTGTACCGGTACATGTGCAGCAACAAAGGCGACTACAAGACGACAGGGGAGCCGGCTCCAGGAGATTATTTTTATGACGAGCCCAACAAACCCGGTGCAAGTGAAAAGAAGGAATACTTCATATGAACCTGGGAGAAGATGGTGGTTAACAGAAAAATAAAGATCCATGTGTAATAAAAAAAAAGAAGAAGAAAAAAAGAAATGGGGTGGATTTGCTACTGGAAGAAAGAGGGGAGGGGATATTTTTAAGAAATTGTCCCAGGAGTGAAACCAAAGACAGGATCAGGACTGTAGCCATGAATGTTGATGAATGTGAAGCAGCTGAAAGACAACGGGCGTCTATCGACATCCACAGCTTGGTATGAAACAGGTGGAAGGATTTAAAACATGTCTACAGCCAGCGATAGGATCACAAAACATTCAGCAACCGTCACAAGATTACTCTGACACTATTATTATTATTATTATAATCATGTTTCTCAGTCTCTTGCTTCCCTCAGACTGTATTTTTTTTATCAATCTCAGGCATGCTGTGTTGGCTGTTACATTTATGTTGAATTGCTTTTCTTTTTAATTAAAAAACTGACGATACAGAAAACTGCTTTTGTTGCACCTGATTTAATTTTCTATATAGTTACTCAAAACTTTTATGTGTGGAAGATGGTAAAGAAAGTATTACCATGTATCTTCAATCTATTTTAAGTTTTTTTTTTTTGTAAAATTGCTCCATTACACTTTATGAACAGTGATATGTTTGCCTACTTCAAAAAAGGTGTTGGAAAATGATTACCTAAAATATATTTAAAAAGCTTTATTTGCACTAGTTTAAAAAAAAAGTCAAGTTATGGGAGCAAGAAATTTAGGTGTAACTTTTCTATGGAAACCTATGACGGGCATTATTTTTACACATTTATAATTTTATGAAATTGTACATAATTTTCCAAGGCACTGATTCTGTCCATGCTTTTAAACCGTGAACCATAAATGTTTCACATTTCAGTTCCGCAAAACCTTCACCGCTGGCCACAAATAGGAAGTGAGCACAAAGATTACAGGTCCGTTCATTTGTAAAAGTCAATTCTAAATAAGTTAAGCAAAATGAAGCAAAGATTTTGCTGCAGCTCATGTTTTAGAGTAACTGGATATGAGGGTACTTTGTTCATGCAAGTGCAATGCTAACTGTGAAATGCTAATAAAACTAAAGCCGCACAATATTTGAAGGTCTTGCAATGGCGATATTATTAAATATTGTAATATCAGTCGCGATATTCCTCCTTGATTTGTGACGTTAAGCTTCGTGGGATATCTCCCGTGTGAAACATCTGCTATCGCGAGACTCCGTCCAACTGGCTACATTAGCATGTAAAATGCTAGCTCGCTTACGGAACGGTCTGGGCTCTTCTTTGTTTACTTTAATTCGTTCCGTTAGAATTTTTACCGGGCCAATCAGCGGACAGCAGAAGTTGTGAACGATGACGTCGCTGTTTTCGAATTGTGGTTGCCTTAGCAACAGCAATGGAGAAAGTGAACGGAGCCGGTAAGTGTGTTGGTCACAGATATTGAATTAACATTAACAGCCATCTTGTTCAGCTTGGAACTTCTGTCTTCGCAGGTTTACAGTTTTAGTAAGCCTTTTAGCATCAATATGGCGCATTAGATTAATTTCAAACTTTACCAAATCGGTAACATTTTAAATTTCAGTGTCTTTGACGTGAAGTAAGGCTGAGTGAGAGATACTGCCACCTGCAGTTGGGAGTTGGTAGTCACTTAAATCCAGTGTTTTGTGCAAAATTCGCCATATGCGTAGAATGGCGAAAAACTCAGCGACTGATTTATGTAATTTGGAGTCTAGAGGGCCGCATAAAAAGCTAGTGAGGGTCAAATTCGGCCTGCGGGCCTTGAGTTTGACACATGGGTTCTAGAGATGTTGTACTGGGAAGCTAGTTCATTACATTTACAAATCAAACATGAACTGGTTATGTAATTTTCCGCATAAAGTTTGTGTTAAAATAACTGCTCTGCTATACAAAGAATTTTTTAAATTTTTTTTTTGGGGGGGGGGGGGGGGAGGGGAATAGGAAGCATGTTTATTAAACTAATAATCGCCTGTGGCAAAAACCAAAATAAAAAAATAAATAAATCTCAGATGTTGTCAACATAAGAAACTTTTTACTATTCTACCAAGGGACTACACAAATGCATACAAGAACAAACTTACCACATTTCAAATTTCCAAATAACCTTTATTCTAAACTTACATTTTAAATTTTAAGTTTAGTATAAAAAAGTTAAGTGCACCTAAGTTCTTTTTTTTGTTCAAAGTATTCCGTCCTTGACATGTCTCAGCAAACGTAGTGACACTCATCTCCTTAGTAATCTTAAAAGATAGAATGTGTACCAAAGTACGTCACATCACTTTAGTACATACATCTATTTTACAAAATGTTGTAAAGAGAATCCCTGAACTATAAATGTCCATAATCCTTCAACAAAGAATGTCCCGTTTGCTGGCTGTGGTTGGCATAGCATCTACTAGTCAGCTGTGAGTTTACAGTACTTCATAATGCTGGAATGAAGCCATTTAAGCTGCTTTACAATCGGAGCAGAGATGGGGAAAAGAAGAAAACTTCCGTTTGAGTTACAGCTGGTAAAGTTTTGATAGCTGTGGCCTTTTTGTTTAAAAAAAAATAAAAGGTTAAGCTGCCTGAAGTGACAGCAGGAGTTGGGTTTCTTAAAACACTTGTCATATCAGAAGAAGGAAACAGATTTCCAGAAAGTTGGTTTGGGATTTAGTTATTATTTGGATCACTAAACAGCCAATTTTGACTTTTGTTTCTGTTAGCCACAGCTATTAAAATTTTTTGCTGCTGTGTCGGATACCAGTGACACTCATTCACACCACAATGATAAATGCTTACAAATATTAGTTTGTGGTATCCATACAGACAACATGTCTAGCTTCAAATACTTTATTTCGTTTTTGATTGACTCCAAAGATGTATTTTTATTTTTTTAAATGACTTAAATAAACATGCTGACAGTCATGTAGCCTCATTGCAAGATCTTTGCATACACTTTGAGGCTTTTGTAACAACATGGCACATCTTTACATTAATTTTTTAAATGGAATAAAAATGGACTCAAAACTGTTGAAAAATGTCACAGCTTTTTTCCCTTTTCATTTAAAAATGAAAACAGAATGTAAAAAGAGATTAGCCCCTTTTTTTCTGCAACTCCTCAGTTTTGCTTAGCAGTGCATTTCAGATAAAAGGTACATTAGCGAAAGGTGCAAAGTATGCAGCAACTCAAAGATGCAGGTGACTCACATTGTGACAGAGGAAAATCCACAATAGATTGCAGTCATGGGAAACTGAAGGCTTGAGGAGCCGACAGTGTCACAACTTCTTGTTCAAGGATATGTTTGCTTTTTCAAACGGTGACGATTAAAATTTGATGTCACAACTTATTATAAATGCATTGCCGGCTAGATCTTTGGCACAACCAGCTCATTGGTTATACTGTCAAATCTTTTCTTTACCTAACTTGTGTAAATCAGTCAAAATATTGAATCACGAAAAGAAAAACTGAAGTATTAAATGCATTTTTGTGAAATGGTTACAATCTTCTAAGAAAGATGATTTTTTTTCATACAACTTTAAAGATGTGTAAACAAAAAAAAAACCTAAATAAAAAAAAAAGAAAGCATAGCTCTGTAGATCTGAATAATAAATGCAGTGATAAACTCTGGGTATCCGACTGTGGAATAGAAACAGGATACATAAAAAGCTAAAAATGTTACACCAACCACCCCTTTCTGTTCATCTTACTATTTGGATTTACTTTAAATTTCTTTCCTTTAAGTTTACTGAAGTTAATTTGCTTCGATTCAGGGTTATCCCCAGTGCTCTTTGGCACTCCACTATGTTCATCTACAAGTTGCCCAACAAGGTACAGTAAACCACTTGAGATATTGCATTAACTCTTTTCTTAAACACATATTTGTTTTCCTTTAAATTAAATTTATTTATTTTACAACTGATTGAAATGGAACAATCTCTCAGAATGTTCATTGTGCAACAAATTTATTGTGGTGTTTTTTTTTTTTTTGATACTGTGCAAAAGACAAGACAGGTCTAACTAAATGCATCCAGGATGCTGGTTCTTTTTTTTTTTTTTCAATATATAGCAGAGACGGTAACGTCCCCTGATCATCATACTGGTATTTACACAAAACTATTACACTCCTATTAATTAAACTACACTAGAGATTTTCAAAAACGACAAGTGGAGATTTCTTTTAGTTGCGCTTTGCGACTTTGTAACTTTGCTTCTTTGCGTTTTACTTTCACCATAAAGCAGCTAAACTATATAATGTAGGTCTGTTATTTCAACATTTTTTCTAAGTAGTTTTACAGGAATACATGAATATCAGTGTTATTTGTGACCATTTGATCAAAGGGAATAGCTCTCCTGAGCAGACACGGACGCCTGAAATCCAATCTGGCGACCAAAGACTTTCTATCCAGCAAAGAATTATGGAGACTGAAAATTTTAAATCTGTGACTTTTTTTCCCTCTCAGGCAGTGAGAATTATCATTTGATCTGTAGGTCAGAAGTGGAGTACTGTACCTTTAACAAGGGCTCTAAAATATTACATTCCGTTAGGTGATATCAGTATTGTGGCATGGCCAAGCAGCCTGAAGAGGAAGGCGTATGGAATAAAGAAGGAACTGGGGAATCATCTGGGACGGGGTTTTATGTATGAACCAGGAGGGGAGTAGCTGCTGTTACCAGATGGTATACCCTCCACTGGATCCGCCCAGGAAGAAGTTATTCTTGCGCTGTGTCATGACAACATTGGCGCCCTGCATGGCGGCCAGCTGAGCCGCATTAGGGGGGTGTCCAGGCGGTGGGGGCTGAAGGGAAAGCAGGAAAAACAGACTCAGTTGACAGTTTTCGTCGAAAGCAACGCATTTTGACGTAAACACTCACGGGGATGGAGACGCTGCTGCCGGCTGTGAAGCGAGCGCCGGCGTCGAAGCCGCCGTCCACCATCACGGTTGATCCATGGGGGTAAACGGCTCCCATGGGGTAGTAAGCCATGGGGACATTCTGGCCCACCGGACCCACTTGCATGTGTGGCTGCATGGGCATGTACACCTGATGGCCAGGGTAATGGGAGGACATCTGCGGCACCTGACCAGGCACCTGAGGTGGAAGCACATATCTGGGCTGGTATATCTGCACACAGAGACGGAAAGCAAAATTAAACCTTCAGAAATTATAACCCGTCATAATGTCCAACTTCCATATTGCTAAATTACCTCAGAATATGCAGGTGGTGTGTCTGTGTAGGGAGGTGCCTGAGGAGACATTTGCATAGCAGGAGGGTATACAGGTGCAGTACTCTGCTGAGGTACACAGACTGCTGTGGATATGAACCTGCAAGACAAAACATTGGGTTTTAAACAAAACACTGAAACCCCAGGGACTGAAGGGGAATTCCCAGGTTCAGAAAGGGACTAAAGATGATGATGATGAAGCCAGAAAATGTGTGTGAAGCCAGAACAAAATGAATGGAAACTAGGGCTGCAACTAGCAATTATTCTAACGATTAACTGGATAAAGGAGATTTTATTGGAAATAACTGCAGATTTTTCATTTTATCACTGGAAGATTTTTTTTTTTAGAAAAACAAAATTTTATTTTAAGGACATATCGGTCTAAAATGCAACACTGTATTCTTTTAGTGAACTCTTGACCATTTGTAGCAAAGGATGCATCTGCAGATAAAAAGACACAGCTCACAAAAACATGTGAAAAGCTCAGTCTTCTCTGCTTGACTTATCAATACAGCATATGGTTGATCTGTTGATGATTGTTTGGATTAACTGATTAATAACTGGAGAGTAAATAATTATAATTTTTTTTACAGGACATGAATTGGGTAAAACCAAACTATGCCACTTGATAAAGATTTTTTAATCTTAAATGGAAATATATATATATTTTTGTACAGTTTTGTCTTAAAGTTGCTCGGAGCCCGTTGTTTGTTCAGCAAATGTCCTTTTTTTAGTCTTATATAATTATTTGATTACTAAATTAGTTGGAATTTATCTTAACTGATTAATCATTTCAGCTCTGATGGAAACATAATGAGAACAGTGCTGTGCTCTGGGTAAACATTTTTGGTCAAAAACTGGTCATAGTGTGAAAACTATAGACCATCACTCCAAATAAAGTAACCTTGTTTTAAAACTAAGCAACCAACCACATGCTGGCTAACCGAACGTACAATCAGACCAATTAACTTATTGTGACCTCGTTAGACTTGTGTTATTCACCAAACAGAATAACAACAATAGATAATATTCTGCTAATAACTTAAAAATGAGTGAATCATGTTGCAAAATATAACTAAGAATGTTATTTACTTAGCAGGAGTGAATAATTTTTGCAAGTAATTTATGACATATTGGCGTTAACATCAGAATCAGGCGATATTAGTAATTTTTTAACATCGGTAATCTCTTCTTGCCTCTTGTATTTGTTCGGTCAAATTTGTATTCCTAATATTTGCTTCCGTCTTTAACTTGATAGACTTTTATTAAGTTAAACATTTAAAGTCATATACAATTTTGTGTAAACGCTGATTTTAAATTTGTATAAAAGGTTAATATACAAAGAATCTCTGTATAGATGGTTCTCTTGAATTTATTCTCATAATGGTTAAATCAATGTGGATTACTTATTACTTATTGTATTTTAGTTTAGATTGAATTTTCTTGTAATATACGCGTTTTAAAATTAAACCTGTGTAAGGAGAATTTCTATCTATGGGACAAACAGAGCTTGTATATTTATCAAATATTAAAACATGAAGCAAAAGCAGTAAGAAAATTAAGGCATTCATGTTTTTATTTTTGCTGTTTTATGCATGTAAATGGTGATAAAAACTACATTTTACAGATGAGTATGGACAGTTTGGTAATTTGCAATCAAACAACTGTACCTTAATAGGAACAATGAACAACAAATGACAATACATATAAGCTGATGTAACAAAAATCTTGTGTATTAGGAAAATCTGAAAAATATTAAACTGAAAATAGATAGAGAATAATAAGATGTAACCTAAGTTGTCATTTATATCATGCTTTACAATTATATAGCTAACAAGTCAGAATTATCTAAAAAAAAACAAAACCAAAAGATCTTGAGGCAAACTGAATTCACTTTATTCTGATACCATCACAGAAATGTGACGTAGTAAAAAAAAAACAAAAAAAAACAGCATAAAGTAAAACAGTTTCTTTTTCTGTGTTGCTGATTTTTTTAAAATGGGCCAGTCGGTTGCAACATAATGGTTAAATTATTGTGAAAGCAAAAAACTAGCATCAGCCCTTTGTTTGGGGGATGTAAGCGTGTTTAGCCTTTTTACAGTCTAAAATGATCCGCTAAACAGGAAAACAATCTGAATAGATGCAGCAAACAGCCCAAACTAAAACACTTCTTCAGTCTGACTGCACCAGAATAGGACTTCCATGTTAACAACACAACGGCGAACCAAAACAGTCCAGTTATGGCAGCTTTGCCGTTTTAAATGGTTGTAGCTCGATAAAAATTTTTTAAAAAAACACAAAAAAAACCCCAAAATGCTACCTGATCAGAATCAGTAAACGAATGTAACGAGAAAGTGAAAAAAATGTATTCATTACAGTATTTCAGACGTTAGGTTCAGTAAGTGAGCTTCCCAGAAGGCGTCAGTTTATTGTTATGTACGTAGCTAAACGTGAAGTCCGCTTTAGATAACGACAGCCCGTTCGGCTCTAGTTCTAACAGCAGCGTCGACTGACGGGCAGCTAGCTGACAAACTGAACCCGCTGTGGAGAAATACCTTTGTTATTCATTGTTGTGGATTGATTCGGAGGCTGAGGAACATCAGCTTGTACGGAGCTCTGCGTATCTTGTCTCGGCCTTGTTACAGGTTTCGGATTGACACTTCCTTGTTTCTTCTTGTTGTTGTGGAAGTGGTTACGTCATCCGTTCTTTATCTGCGGCTGCACGCACGCACGGCTCGCTCGCACGCCTGCGCCCTCTCTGGTGGAAAAGGGGAACTTGCTCAAACGCGAAGTGAAGCAAACAAAAATGCAAAAAGCGAATTTTAAAGCTAAACATTGCGGAGTATGGAAGCCCATTTTCGCCACTCTGTTAAAAAAATAAAATAAAATTATCTCATTATAATGAGATAGTATCTCAAAATAATGAGATAGTATCTCATTATAATGAGATAGTATATCAAAATAATGAGATAGTATCTCATTATAATGAGATAGTATCTCAAAATAATGAGATAGTATCTCAATATAATGAGATAGTATCTCAAAATAATGAGATAGTATCTCAATATAATGAGATAGTATCTCAATATAATGAGATAGTATTTCATTATAATGAGATAGTATCTCAATATAATGAGATAGTATCTCAATATAATGAGATAGTATCTCAAAATAATGAGATAGTATCTCAATATAATGAGATAGTATCTCAATATAATGAGATAGTATCTCATTATAATGAGATAGTATCTCAATATAATGAGATACTATCTCAATATAATGAGATAGTATCTCAAAATAATGAGATAGTATCTCAATATAATGAGATAGTATCTCAATATAATGAGATACTATCTCATTATAATGAGATAGGAGACTGTGGAGGTTGAACCCCCTTTCGAATTGGTTCAGTCCACCTGGACCGATTTGACGGTACCATCGGTCGCGCCTGCCGCCTGGAATCACCTAGCTAAATGTAGCTATTTACAACGGTAAGAATTGTGGTTTTGTTAATTTAAATTAAGTCTGCAATATAAGCTAGCATAGTATAAAGTAATCAATTTGTTATACTGACGACGGTAGCTAATTTTGAAGATATCAAAATTAGCTACCGGTTTCTGTTTCTTCACTACGTCAGTGCACAACTGACTTTTCGTTGATTGTAGTTAATATCTGAGGATTACGTGGTACGTTTATTTGCTGTAATGATACATGTTCAGTCTACCACAAAGTGTAATAACTGGTGAGTAGTTCCTAGATGCTGCATCACGCTCCCAAACCATTGCGACGCCAAAACGATACCTCTAGCCTATGTATTTTTTTTAAGTTAAACTAAAATATGTCGTGGCATTTTATGTCACGTACTCTGTCAGAATCTCTCTCTTTTATTAAATTTTAAATACTTTATGTACCTGGTCCCCAAGCAAATAAATAAAATAATAAATATTGTTTTGTCTGTTTGCAAATCAATTTCTTTGATTTAATCAGTAAGTTCAAGTAACAAACAAAACATTATGTGCTTGGTTTTGTACAGTGCAGGTTGTTTCAGAAAGAGAAGATGGATGGTGTGCACCAGCTGGATTTTCACAAGCCTTAACTCATCACACAAGCGGTATAAGTGACTTCTCTGCTATAGTGTGTTTCTCCAGTTCTCCATTGAAAGACCTTTATGCTCCTCAGACAGCTTCATTTTATGTTTTCTTTCCTTTTCTACTGCTAAAGACATTGTCAGTATGGAACGGTACAGTTCTTTGTTATTACCAATAAATATTTTCTTATCTTTTCTGTGAATTTAAAGAGGTTTCTCAAGATGTGTCCATTTAAACCACTGTATATGCATAAATTTGTGTAATTACACAAATAAAATAACTGTGGTAATAGTCATTATAAAACAAAAGTTTAAAAAGATGCATTCCATTTTCTGTTCACCCTTGTCCCTATTGGGGTTGGGAGTTGCTGCTGCCTCTCCAGCTTCGTTCCAGACGAGAGGTGGGGTCACCTGGACAGGTTGCCAGTCTGTCACAGGGCAACATAGAAACAAACAGGACAAACAACCATGCACACACACACTCACACCTAGGGAGAATTTGGAAAGACCAATTACCTGACAGTCATGTTTTTGGACAGTGGGAGGAAGCTGGAGTACCCGGGAGAACCCACCATGCACAGGGAGAACATGCAAACTCCGTGCAGAAAGACCCCGGGCAGGGAATCGAACCTATGACCTTCTTGCTGCAAGGCAACAGTGCTACTAACTGCACCACTGTGCAGGCCCCCTAGTGAAAACATTTCACAAAAAAATAAATAAATTGCGCTTAAAGGAATTATGAATGTCCCGGCCCGGGGTCTTTCTGCGTGGAGCCTGCATGTTCTGTGCATGTGTGGATTCTCTCCGGGTTCTCCAGCTTCCTCCCACAGTCCAAAAACATGACTGTCAGGGTAATTGGTCTTTCCAAATTCTCCCTAGGTGTGAGTGTGTGTGTGCATAATTGTTTGTCCTGTCTTTCTCTGTGTTGCCATGCGACAGACTGGCAACCTGTCCAGGGTGACCCCGCCTCTCGCCCAGAACGCAGCTAGAGATAGGCACCAGCACCTCCCAACCGCACTAGGGACAATGGTGTTAGAAAATGGATGGATAAATGGCATTATGAATTATAATTAATTTTTCAGGAAAATTATAATTTGTAGTATGACTTGCTTTACATTTTATTGGAAACATGATGGTCTTGTGTATCTTCACCTTCCAGTGTATGATCACAGAATGGATGACCTGAGTGATTTCCTGAGACAAAGAAATATTCCTGAGGAAGCTATTGAGACCATGCTGAGAGAGAAGGTACAAGCTAAAAATAAATCAGTATTTCAAAAACTAGTTTGTTTAAGTCATGTGTCTAGCAATGTTATATAATTGAATTCAAATAATTTGCATGCAATTCTAGTTCCATAAGTTTTAAAATAAATTATTTTTTATTCTTCTTGTTTAGATTGATAGCAGTGTCATCCAACTCATGACAGATGAAGAGCTAGAGAGTTATTTGCCATCATATGGAGACCGCATCGCCCTATTAGGATACTGTAAAAGGAAGGAAACTGGTCCCCCAAACAGTCGCAATCAAAACTGTTTGAGCGCCTGAAATCAAAGCTGGGTAAAAGGAAAACTGCTCATCAAGATGGTTGTGGTCTGGAAAAAGAAGAGCAATCTGAAACAAACGTTAAGAAGAATGCTCTGAAGTCAAAGAGAAAAATAGAAATAGGCTGGGCTGCTTTATGATGAAGACCAACAGGCTTTTAAACAAGTAAGAGCAAGAAGAGTGGTGGAACAGAATTTAAGGTTTTACAGATAACAATTTACCAGGGTGATGTTACCATTCCCAAATTTCTACAGATGTTATAAAAAGGGATCACTTATTTGTGAGAGGTGAATGTTTGTTTGTGCAGCAAAGCTGTTGGTTTGTTTAAGGGTAGATTGTCAAAACTCTACCATATATGCACAAGTTCTGCAAATTCAGATCTGTTAACTGTCAGTGGAATGTCAAAATAATGGATTTTTCTTTGTTGAAAGAATACAAAATAAATATATTTTGATAAAGTGTAGGGTCTGTTTATATTTTGCTGTTGCTGTAAACATATTTATTTGCCATGATACTGAAAAACATATATACGGTACAGACCAAAAATTTGGACACAACCTGCAAGAAAGCTCATTTACTAACCTGACAGGTCACACCTGTGAGGTGAAAACATTTCAGGTGATGACCTCTTGAAGCTTATCAAGAGGTCGTCTGTGATTACTGTGATTTGCATTAATCATATTTACCTTTTGCAGTAGTCACAGCAAAAGGTTGCTACTTTTGAAGAAACTACAATATAAGGCGCATTTCAGTTGGTTTACACTTTTTGGTTTAGTACACGTGTCAAACTCAAGGCCCGGGGGCCAAATCCGGCCCACCGTAGCTTTTTATGTGGCCCTCCACAGACTACACTAAACACTAAGTGTGATTAAATATTATATTGTCAATCCTATCAATGCAGTTTTTTTATCTGTTTACTGCCAATTTATATATCACCAATCCCCTCCAATTTCTTGAGTATTTAGTTGATGTATGATTATAGTCCATGATTTATACAGCGAGTAAATAAACAGTCACATTTATTATAAGTTCCTGAAGGGAAATCTTCAATAATATTATGTAATTTTAAGAATTTATTGACATATTAACCGTTTGTGAACAAGTTTTATCAACTCATTCTGGCACAACCAGCCCTTTAAGAGCCTTCATGATCTTGATTTGGCCCAAAACGAAAATGAGTTTGACACACCTGGTTTAGTCCATATTTCAACATGTGTTAATTCATAGTTTGATGCCTTCAGTGTGAATCTACAATGTCAATAGTCATGAAAAATAAAGGAAACTCATTGAATGAAAAGGTGAGTCCAAACTTTTGGTCTGTACTGTATGTCAAGAGTAATGACAACATTTGTACTCTTATCGAATTAATACGAACTGCAAACAATCATGTTGGTAGGAAAATTGTCACAATGGTTATCTGTTAGTAATAACATGATTAAAACATTGCCTTGTACATATAACACTTTCCCCGACTAAGTAAGGGTAAGAAAACAGAGAACCTGCAAATGCTGCCACTATTTAGTGCTGTTTTGAAGAAGAGGCTTGTATTTTTGCAACAATAAAGAAGATTTAATACATAGAAATTAGTAGATTGACCTTGACTCAATGTTGAAGGAAACTAAAATGTATTAGTGTTTTTAAATAAACCATAGAAACAAATTGTAACTTATTCATGCATTTAAGTTTTACAATCGCAATGTTTACACAGGACATACTGACATAATATCTGACTTGTTAACCTGGGCGATTTAGAGAAACTATTCCCTCAGCCCATCACTGATCATTTGGCGGAGTCTTACATAAAGATTAGTAATTTCATATACATCATCTGTCATTACCAGTCTGTGCTCTGTCATGAGTTCAGTGCATAAGTGAAATACATCGACATCACAGGGAAAGTCCTTGAAATGACATTCTTCTACACATATTTCCAGCTTGTTAGATTAGCAGACTGTAAAAAGTTTGGAACCCCATACAGGTTGGGAACACCATGCATTAATGTGGGACGACCAGGAGGAGCCCGAGGATTATTTGTAGATCGTATTCGATGGTCGTTCCATGTATGAACAACTTCATCCAGCTCCATCTGTATGATAAAAAATTGAAAAAATAAAATAAAATAGTTGTTAAAAAAATTTCATGCTTCTGTATTATTTGTAACTTATTTCAAATTTGTGTGCTAAAAGTAAGAAGTAAATTTATAGTACCTGTATTGTTTGTAAGAAGCAAAAACTGGATCAGTGATTTGTCCAGAAAACTGTCAACAAAATAGCCATCAGCTTCAAGCTGGTCGAAATGTTCCATCCAAAACTGGGTACATTCACTTCTTAAAGTGCACCACCATCGCTCTATCCTTTGATTTCCTGTACTCGGACCGAGAATAACAGAGTCAAAACCATTTTCATTCTCGGTGTTGTGCAGAAATCTTTGCATCGCTGCACATAAGTGTTCTCTGTGCCATGATCCATTCGTATCTTTTGAGGAAATCCATTATACTCCATCACAGCATCAATGAAATAGCCAGCAATAATGTGAGGATCACTATTAGTCTTATATGCTTCGAGCCAGATCATTTTCCTTGAAAGCCATCTATGCATCCATTAATACATATCCCATAAGGCTTTAATTTATCGTACCCATCGATGTGCCAGACATAGTTTGTCCCCGACTGACATATAAAGCGTCGTCTCAAGCGATTTGTGCACGCAGGTCAACCCCGTTGGGATCCAATAGGCGCATCAAAAGACGTACTGTTTCTCTGTCTGTGACTATGCCAGCCATCCAACATTTCTGGTGCATCCACCTGTAGCCGTGCTGTCTCCCAGATCCTTGTAGTTGATGCTCTATAAAAGAGGCCACTTCTGCAACATCTGTCTTATTTTTTCTACGCCAAAGGCGCTTCTTTTGCAGTCTTCTCTCCAGCGTCCGGAGACTTAATTTGACATTATGGGTTTCTTCCAAAACTCCCAAAATTTCAAGATTAGTAAAACCTTCTGAAGTATTGCTCAATGATGTTATCAATATCCATTTCTTTCTATCAAGCTGAGCATTTCAAACTATAGGGCCAACTCAAGTTATCTCATTATAATGAGATACTATCTCATTATAATGAGATACTATCTCATTATTTTGAGATACTATCTCATTATAATGAGATAGTATCTCAAAAATAATGAGATGCTATCTCATTATAATGAGATACTATCTCATTATAATGAGATACTATCTCATTATTTTGAGATACTATCTCATTATAAGAGATACTATCTCATTATAATGAGATACTATCTCATTATTTTGAGATACTATCTCATTATAATGAGATAGTATCTCATTATAATGAGTACTATCTCATTATTTTGAGATACTATCTCATTATTTGAGATACTATCTCATTATTTTGAGATACTATCGCATTATTTTGAGATAGTATCTCATTATTTTGAGATACTATCTCATTATTTTGAGATACTATCTCATTATAATGAGATAATTTTATTTAATTTTTTTAACAGAGTGGCGGAAATGGGCTTCCATAGCGGAGAAATATAAGTACATGAAAAGCAAAAATTAGAAATTCAAAAAGAATATTTTTAAAAAATAATTTATTACCTAGAAATGATTAATCACAGATTTTAAAAACAGCTTACCTGTGTCTGACTCCAATTATTATACATAAATAAAATATCCTGAAAAGGGAAGAACACCTTTAATAATTGTATTTTTTACGTAAAAAATATTTTATGGTCAATACAAATAAGAAAGTTTTAAAGAAATTAGTCATTTTATTAAAACTGCAATAGCGAAGTTATTCCGAAGCTGGATATTTTACAATTTTTTTTTCTAAACTTATGAAGCCATGTGAATAACAAATAAGAATTTTAAATGTTCACATTTTAAAAATGTTCATACTGATATTCAAATTATGAATCTAGACCTTTACAATTAAGTGGTACAGGTGAAAGTTAGCTTGATTTGGTTCATTATGTTCAATGAAAATGACAAAGACAGCATTTTTTAATAATTTTAAACATATTCATATTTTTGCAGAAGTTTAAAAAAACATTTATTATTATTATTATTATTATTATTATTATTATTATTATTATTATTATTAATTTTTACAATAATGCTTGATTACTTTTTTAAGCAACCAATGTCAACGTGTTTATTGCTTTTTTAAATTACTGATTAGCATTGGGTTATTTTCCAATTATTGCATTTTTTAAAAATTTCTGATAAAAATAAAAGAAATGTACTGTTGTACTGTTTTACTATGTTCACTTCAAAATTTAGTAAACAAAAGAATATATAAATCTGTGTTTTGTGGTTTTCATTTGCTGTAAGCCATAATAATCCAAATTCAAATATTTAAACCCTATAATCTACTGATGTGCAACTGTATGTCCGGATCCACTCCGAATGTTTATTTCAGCGTGTGACAAACACTGTTCGACTTTCTCAATGCGGTACGTCCCCTTTAAGAGAACCATGGCACCGCTCAAGTCGAGGCAGACATTTTTCAATGCAAGATTTTTTTCTTGCATAAATTATGTTCATGACGTAGTGCAAAAGGACAATTTTGGGGCAATTTTGTCCGACTTTACAGCTCTGGGGGGATTCCTTGAGACACCTGGAGGATTTCTGATGGTGTGAACTGTTGCAGAAAGGGCACCGTCATTAAATATTAAGGCAGAGGAGATCCTAACATTGCAGCCCTCCTTATCAATGCAAATAGCTCTCTTTTGTGTGCAGTCACAGCGCCTGTCTGGGAGCTGAGATGAATTTCTAATGATGGGTGACTGAAACAAACTGTGACAGGGAGCATTTTAAGAGCGGCGGATTACGGGAAATAAGCTGCATTTCCGCGGTAAGTTGCATTTAGAAATCGCACTGTGTCCAAGCTCGCTGCTGGCGCGGAGCAGCGAAATGGCGAGAGAAAATGAGTTTTGGTTAATATGCAATGCTCGTAATTAGCATAATTTATATTTATGATAAAGAGGGAAATGCATAAAATTCGTGCTCTCGGCTCGGCTTGCCAGGATTTTCGTCGGCTGTGAATGGTGCTGGTCCTCCAAAAAGTGGCTTTTATTGACCAGGATGGGGGTGGGGTGCCCATCAACAGCCGCTGAAGTTTTGACAGATCCCCATCTCCCGGGGGGCTCTGCTGCAACAAACGCACCATCTTGAGCCTGTTTTGGAGTCTGTTCAGAATTTGCAACCACTTCGTGGATATTTTAACCATGTTTGAACATGTTTATTTGCAGCTTTTGTGCAACACAATATGGCCTGTTTATACTTACAGGCCCCTTTAAATAGTCTGTGTCTGCAGTGACTAAATGGTCAGGAGTAACAGGGAACGTTAGCATGTTGGTTTATTTCAAAGGTACCAATTGAGTTTAAAGTACAAATGCAATAAAACAAAGAATCTCTACATTTTTTTAGATGCGATATTTGCATAATCAGTATGTGTTTATCTAGGATGCCTGCAAGACATTATCTAAGTTGGTGCAGCAAGCCATGAACTCCCAGGATCTTCCTGCCCAAGATGCCCCGCTCACTGTCAATGAGCAGGTAAAAGATCATCTGTTATTCATAACAATATATTAATATTCTCCTTTTTTCCACATTTTGTCCCAGCACAGCATCAAACTTTAGTGTGTTTTATTTGGTTATAATGTGATTTACTTACTCAAGGTAACTCATTGTTGTGAAACTGGAGATAAATTAAGCTTTGTTTTCCAAGTTGTTACATTTGACTCAAAACTCTTTTGAACCACTTTTAGTTCTTTTGAATTATATTGCTACTGCTCTAGAAATTAAAGTTTTTTTTTTTCATTCTTTGCAAAATTGCTCAATCTCACTTTGACTAGGTGAAGAGCATTTACAAACATCGAATTTAAAGTTTTGCCACAGGTCATTTGGACTTATGTCTGGACTTTGACTAGACTATGCACTTATATTGTCCTTTAAACTTGGGCTCCACAATTTTGTCATCACATTATCAACGTTTGCAGTATTGTAATGAATAAACCGTAATGTTTGGATTATTCAGTTGGATATGATTATATATTTGGCCAGTTGGATAAATAAAAGCCCTTGAGGCACATGATTCATTGTGGAGTTTTGGTCTGTTGAATGTGGTGTGCAGTGTTAGTTAGATTCACTCCAAAATATTGCTTTGCATGGCTAGAGTGTTTAAATTTATTTAATCTCATATTTTCTGTATAAATCAACTACAGCAATTAATTGAACAGAATTTTAGTTGGTTATATCAGAGAACAGAGCAGAATGCAAACAGAAATATCACTTAAAATTTTAATTTGTGGTCCAAAATGATATTTCTTACATAACTGTCTGACACACGGCTCTCCATTGAGATCACAACTCACTTCTGTATTAATGCTTGATAATTTCTGCTACTCTTTGCTTCAAAGACTGTCAATGTTTAAACTGCCATGCTTATTAATAATTTGTTGTGGATTTTCTCACCTGTAACGCTTTGTGTAGACATAGCCAGCAAGCCAAAATCAATCTTTATAACTCACTGAGCGTTGCTTAGGCTGCTTGTTGGCTGATGCCCTCTCCGTCATTTCGGTCCACTCATACGTCTTTTTTTTAAGTTAGTTTTGGTTTTTGTTTTGTTTTTTTGGGGGTCATCTTGTCCTAACATGTGCTTGGCTTCTCTGTCCTCCTTAGCCATTCACTGTCTGACAGCAGAAGTTTTTTTCAGCCATTTAAATCCTGCACTGTGAAATTCCCCCTGTCAGGGACATCCAGGTACGCATCACCATCTCTTTCTCTCTTTCTCTCTGCGTTTGTCTCCTCTGCATCCTGTCTTCCAGCCGCCTTGCTGCCTCTGCTTGGTCTTTCATTATTTCACTTTGTGAATCATCAACTATAGGTCAGCGCTGGGTTTAGAATATGCTGGTAGACGGGGAGAATTATTGACGTTAGCACATAAAAGTATTCATAGCTCTAAAATTGTCCTAGACAATAGTAAGGGCTTACTAGCCACCAACAATTATTCTGTCTTTATGTTTTTTAATGCTTTGTATAAAACTCAAAAGCCCAAATCAGTTGAGTTGTATTAATGTTTCTTTTTTAATATAATATTTGAAAATTAAGAAGTGATAGTCGATTTTGTTGGAAAAAACATGGAGAAACTGGTCAGGGTACAAATTAAACCTATTATGCATCCTTTCCTACCTGCAGATACACTCCTGATCAAAATCTTAAGACCAGTCAAAAAATTGCAAGAATTTGCATTTTGCACTATTGAATCTTAAGAAGATTCTAAGTAGCTTCACAATGTTAAAAGAAAATTTAGTGCAAGAGACAAAAACATTTGAGCGGGGAATTTTCTGAAAACTGCATTTACACTCAAACATGATTTTTTCAGCTGATCAAAAGTTTAAGACCATAGTCTTTAAAAGCCAAAAGCTGTGCAAAAATCTGGATTCCATGTCATGTTCTATGAAGTCTTTACACTGTCAAGACCTCCAGATGGCAAAAGCAAAAAAGTTCACTGACTTTGAACGTGGCAGGATTGTTGAGCTGCATAAGCAAGGCCTCTCCCAACGTGCCATCGCTGCTGAGGTTGGACGCAGTAAGACAGTCATTTTGCATTTTTTAAATGATCCTGAGGGTTATGGAACAAAAAAGTCAAGCGGTAGACCCAAAAAAATTTCACCAGCTCTGAACCGCAGGATCCGATTGGCTGTCCGTCAAGACAAGGGACGATCCTCTACCCAAATTAAAGCCATTACTGGTGCCGACTGCAGCCCGATAACCATCAGACGGCATCTGCGAGAGAAGGGCTTCAGAAATAAAAAACGTCTTCAAAGGCCACGTCTTCTTCAACTCCACAGAATTGCTCGTTTGGACTTTGCAAGGGTGCACCAAACATGGGACATTGAAAGGTGGAAGAAAGTTGTCTTCTCTGATGAGAAAAAGTTTTGGCTTGATGATCCTGATGGCTTCCAACGTTACTGGCATGACAGAGAGATCCCACCTGAGATGTTTTCTACACGGCACAGTGGTGGGGGCGCCATCATGATTTGGGGTGCGTTTTCCTTCAATGGAACAATGGAGCTTCAGGTTGTGCAGAGGCGTCAAACAGCAGCTGGCTATGTGGAGATGTTGCAGCAGGCATCCCTCATGACTGAGGGCCCTCGTCTGTGTGGTAATGATTGGGTTTTTCAACAAGACAATGCTGCAGTTCACAATGCCCGCCTGACAAAGCAGTTCTTCCAAGAGAATAACATCACTCTTTTGGACCATCCTGCATGTTCCCCGGATCTAAACCCAATTGAGAACATTTGGGGATGGATGGCAAGGGAAGTTTACGAAAATGGACATCAGTTCCAGACAGTGGATGCCCTTCGTGAAGCCATCTTCAACACTTGGAGCAATGTTCCCACTAGCCTCCTGGAAACACTGGCATCAAGCATGCCTAAACGATTGTTTGACGTCATCAACAAGAATGGTGGAGCTACTCATTACTGAGTCCTTTTTTTGGCACTTTGATTTCTGTTTTGGGGGGTTTTGGAGGTTTTTTGAGCTATGGTCTTAAACTTTTGATCAGCTGAAAAAATCATGTTTGAGTATAAATGCAGTTTTCAATTAATTCCCCGCTCAAATGTTTTTGTCTCTTATGCTGATTTCTTCTTTTAACATTGTGAAGCTCTACTTAGAACCTTCTTAAGATCCAATAATGCTAAATGCAAATTCTTGCAATTTTTGACTGGTCTTAAGATTTTGATCAGGAGTGTATATAGAACTATGTATTAATGTCACAGTTAATTGTGTTGCAGTAGTAAAACAATTTTTGTATTGTGGATAAGGCACCAAAAGTGGCCCTAGCCCAGGTGCTTTATACAGCACAATCCCAAGAGGCTGCAAAAGACTCATTCTTTTATCAGGACAAAACCTAATATACGACCAGAACTGCATTGGAGCAGTTCTGATTAAAGCAATCACATGTGCTAGAATGGCCTAATCAAAGTTCAGATCTTAATCTAATTGAAAGTCTTTGGCAAGAGTAGAAAATTAATGTTCACCAACTGTTCTGACTGTGGTTCTCTAATAATGTTCAAGAGATTTTAATATTTTTACAAGAAGGAGGATTTCTTTATGTTTTTTTTTTTTTTTTTAAATAATTTAGCTAACTTTTAAAATGAATTTCTAAATTCTGGTCCTGTTGTACAGTTATTTTCTGGATCTCTAATCACCTCATAATTTGCCCCTGCAGGTTATTGTTATGTCCGGTCAGGAGACAATTCGTGTACTAGAAGTCGAGGTTGACGCATCTCTGCCATCTTCGGTACCGGATGGGAAGAAATGAGAGCAAAATTGCTGAGGAGGAAATGGCTCAGTGTGCAGAGAAAGCTGAAGCTGCCAGCACCCAGAGCAGCCCCACAGCGCCCCACAGCACTGGGGACGCAGGTGAATCATTATTTTGAATCGGCTTCAGAATTGTTTTTCTGGTGCAATGAAGCTGCACAGTAAAGTGCTAGAGTTAGTGCAACTTCAGCTGTTACAGCTGAAAACTGGCAATGAGGTCTGCAATCTGGGCGTGGTGATGGATTCACACCTGAACCTTCAGAACCACATAAAGACAAATAAAGTCAGCCTTTTATCATCTGAATAAAGGACTAATTGCTCAGCAAGAGTTTGGGAAACACATTCATTATCTTTAGTCGCTGCAACGATTTCTTTACAGGTTTACCTAAAAAGAATCAACCATATTCAGAACGCTGCTGCTGGCGTTCTGACTAAAACCAGGAAGATGGAGCACGTCACCCCAGCTCTAAAGTCCCTACACTGAAAGAATAGACTTTAAAATACTGTTGTTAGTTTAAAAATCACTAAAAGGTTTATCACCAAAACACACACCAGAAATGGAGAGGCAGCATTCAGCTTCCTCTCCAAAGCTGAATGAAACAAACTTCCAGGAAACTGCAAAACATCCAAAACACTGACATTTCAATCAAGACCAAAAGCCCACTTTTATAGAGTTGCCTTTAAATAGAACATTGACCAACATTTAATGTGTATTCACAATTTTAAAGATGGCACTCCTCTGTTTTTAGTATTTGCAACTGTTAATTCTATGATGTGTTCATTTTTTTTTAATCTTTTCTCAACGTAAAGCATTTTGAACTGCAGTGTTGCTGAAATGTGTGATACAATAAACTTGATTGATGGTGTCCTGCAGAGATCGGAGAGCAGCAGGGAGCGTCTGCTGATGCATCGGCTGCTGCTGTCCAAACAGTGAATCCTGCAGTTCCGCTCAGCGTTTCCATTGCCCAACCCCAGGCCACCATGCCCATTACAGTACAAGGTTGTCCACAGGTATGAACTACGGCATCAACTTTAGAGAAAACCTTTCGGAGAAATTAGAGGCAAGACCGCGAGCCAGGGATTGCCATCCAACATCAGTGTCTAACCTCATTTAAAATTCCTTTCTTACCTTGTTTTAAGAGGACAATAAAAATTGCTTAATTTTAGTGTTTTGGAAGTTAACTTAAGGATATTTAAATTAAAACTTTGTTCAGATATGATTACAGATCTCATTTTAGAAAACCAAAAACAGGTTTCCTATAGTTTATTTATTTATATTGATAACTTTTCAAGGTCTTCGCAGACAAATGTAGAGTGACTTAGGCAAATATATAATAAGACGGAGGATGAAGTAAAACCATTATTAAAATAAAATAGAATGGAAATATTCTGTATAGTTCCAAAATGGAAAAAAAATCTGTTCAATAGCAGCAAAGTGACAGACAATAACAGCAAAACAGACTCACATAAAGACAGAATATAATGTATATATAAAAACAGAATAAAGAATGAAAATACTGCACACTAAGGGCAAATTTTCAACATTACACAGTGTAGTAATGAAAATAGTTCACTACAGGCCTGAATAATGTGCATCTGAGTTGTTGCCAAAACTTTCTCCAACTGAACAAAAATAAAACTGAAGTCATTATTTTTGGACCTATAGAGGAACGATCTAGAGTCAATGCACAGCTTCAGTTATTACAACTAAAACCTAGCGATCAGGCCTGAAACCTGGGAGTAGTGATGGACTCGGACTTGAACCTCCAGAGCCACATAAAGACAGTAACAAAATCGGCCTTCTATCACCTGAACATCTCCAGGATTAGAGGACTAATGTCTCAGCCAGATCTAGAGAAACTCATCCATGCGTTTGTCTTTAGTCGCATTGATTATTGCAACAGCGTTTCAGGTCTGTCCAATAAATCAATCAAACAGCTTCAGTTGATCCAGAACGCTGCTGCTCGCGTTCTCACTAAAACCAGGAAAATAGAGACATAACACCAGTTTTAAAGTCCCTCCACTGGCTCCCTGTAGTTCAAAGAATAGACTTTAAAATACTGTTGTTAGTTTACAAATCACTGAATGGTTTAGCACCACAATACCTCAAAGATCTGCTGTTGTTGTATCAACCTTCCAGACCTCTCAGGTCTTCTGGTTCTGGTCTGCTCTGCATCCCCAGAACCAGAACCAAAAGAGGAGAAACAGCTTTCAGCATCTATGGACCAAAAATTTGGAACAAACTTCCAGAAAACTGTAAAACAGCGGAAACCCTGACTTCCTTCAAATCTCAAGTAAAAACGCACCTGTTTAGAGTTGCATTTGAAATGTAACATGTATGGATTTGATTTTGTAGATATGTATGTAATTTTTTTTGTTTTTTTTTTTCCTGTTGTGGGCAATGGGGCCCGGCGAATACCCGTGGTTAAACGGACGGCGGAGTCCGGCGGTAACAGGCGCTTAAATTCCGTGTCAAAGGGAAGGGGGAAGAAAGGGAAAAAAAAATAAATAATACTTGGTATTTTATTCTATGTTGCATGCCTTTGTGTTTTGTGTTTATGATGTAAAGCACTTTGAAATGCCTTGTAGCTGAAATGTGCTATACAAATAAAATTTGATTGATTGATTGATTGATTTAATTAAAATGTACAAAATATGCATGTATGTGTGCATTAAAAAACAACAGACTCTTTATAAGACGTAAAAATAAAACTGTTAAAACAACAAAAATCTGCAGATACCAGCAGAAATATTATTAGAAAAGAATAAAAATTTGCAAATAACTGAAAATACTAGCAGGGATGTAAGCATTTTTTTGAGTTTATTGAGAGTAATCAATTAATTTCTGGATGATTAACATGAGCTCAATAATTTCCAATCTATTTATTGAATATCTTTTGATACTTACAGACAGAAAATCATCAGTTTTATTTACAGATTAATTCTGGGTGTTTTTTATTTCCAATAAATTTGTTGTTTTTTGGTTGTGGTGTTTCATTTAGGATATTTAAAGCATCTTCCAGGTCTAGTGTAAAATATTTACAAAATTACAGTCTGTGCCATTATTATTGTTCTACTTGAAAGTAATTTCAAAACAACAATGGACATTGTGCTCTGCAACACCAGGTTCTGACCCAGGAAAGCCTGGCCACTTTGATGACTGGTATGATGGCTCAGACGGGTTCACTGGGTCAACCTCTGCTTATCCCCCTCAACATGGCCGGTTCCATGGCCGGCCAGGGCGGATTAGCGGTTCTCACTCTGCCAACCACCAGCGTAGCCCACTCTCCCTGGCCTCACAGCCGCAAACCCAGCTGGGAACCTCCTCAAGCTGCCCTTTGCTGGCCTACAGGGTAAAACAGTTTACCTGCTGCTTGTTTCCCCCTCTCACATCCAGAAATGTATCTATCATAGATTCTTTTCTTTTTTTGTCGTTATTTTTCTTCCCATTTTACCAAAAATGCTAAATCTTACCAAGTACATTTTTTCTACTTTTTAGTACAAAAATTATAGTTCACTTGAAATACGACAAAATTAACTTACAAGTAACTTTTAAGCAAGATATAGGAGATTGTTTTAGGTCAATAATTCTTTAATATTGAAATCAAGTGACAATCTGTCAGCGAAACTAGAACTGGGTTGCTACTGTCATTTATGACATTAGTAAAATAATCTGCCAGTGGAACTGATACTTTTTCATCAATATTAAGAAATTATTTACGGTACATAAAACAACTCCAATATCTACTGTATCTTGTAAATAATTAATTTGTATTTGTGAAAAAGTACCAGTTCTTTTGTTCAAATTTAAATTAAAAAAAATTTATTGATCCCAAAGGGAAATTAAATGTTTGTTGTAACTCATTTTAATTAAAATTCTTCAGTTAGACTGAACACACTCTGTTTTCCCAGGGCAGCCTCATAAAGAGGATGGTTGTCCATAATTTTCTTGATTTTATGAAGAATACTTCTTTGCATCATATAAAATATTTTCCCATGTAGTAAGTGAAATAATCTGCCAGTGGAACAGTTTGTTTTTAACCAATATTAGGGAATTATTGACCTAAATCAAGTTCTTGTATCTTGCTGAAAACTTACTTGTAAGTAAATTTTGTTTTATTTCAAGTGTACCAAGATATTTGCACTAAAAAGAATTCAAAACCACTTGGAACATTTTTGTGTTTTTTGCAATGCACAAAGCTATTTAAACTCTTAAATATTAACAATCTCATCAGCTAATAGCTCCATTTTGTCATTTTCTCTTTTTAGCTGCAACAGTTCTGAACTCAGTCCAGCAGCCCCAGCTGCAGGCGAACACACAGGCAATGTTCCAGCCTCAAGCAGCGCCGGTGCAGACGTCTGTGCAGCAGGTGCCTCCTCAGCAAACTCAAGTCACCAACGCACAGGTCACTTCCGCCCAGGTGACAGCCGCCCAGGTGACCTCTGTGGCCAACGCCATCTCCCAACCCAACATTTCTGTGGCAGCACTTCAGACAGCAGGACTGTCCATCAACCCAGCCATTGTAGGGCTCATACAGCTCATCGTTTTTTACATTTTTCCTGTTTGCCTCTCATTTTTAACCGTGTTTTTATACATATTTGTTCTCAGATAAGTGCTGCTTCTTTGGGTGCACAGCCTCATTTCCTCAGTTCTCTCACATCAACCCCCATCATCAACAGCCCCATGCCCAGTATGGCTGGCATCACCAGCCAGATCATCACAAACGCCCAGGGTCAGGTAGGTCACAAACAAGCTGTGGTACAATGTGAGATTAAGTGATACAGGTGTTTAATTCTTAAAGATTAACTGTAATGACCACCAAATAAGCCTGGAATGGACTTCACCCGATCTGTGAAGGTGTGCTGTGGTATCACACTGCAAAAACACAAAATCTTTCCAAATATTTCTATTCTAGTTTCGAGTGCAAATATGTTATCACACTTGAAATAAGAGAAATCTAACTTATTAGTAACTTTTCAGCAAAATATAGGAGCTTTTTAAAGTAATCAATACCTTAATATTGATTAAAAATTACTAGTTTCACCTGCAGATTATTTCACTGATAACGAGACATTTTTCCATGCTGTAAGTGAAATAATCTGGCAGTGATACCAGAACTTTTTAATCACTATTAACGCAATATTTACTTAAAACTAGCTACATCTCATTGAAAAGTTATTTATAAGTAATCTTGTCTTATCTTTAGTGTGATAAACTACTTTGTAAGATTTTGTGTTTTCACAGTGCAAACCTTGAAATCACTGCATAAACACAAACCCTTACAACGTACTTTTTGTCTAGTTTTTAATGCTAATAACTTAGTACACTTAAAATAAGACAAAACTAACTTAAAAGTAAGTTTCAGCCAGAAATTAGAGCTTTTTTTAAGTAAATACCTTAATCCTAATTAATAAGTACTTGTTCTAAGCCAGCTGCATATTATCCGAAACAAACAAAGCATCATCCTCCAACTACTTCCTGTCATCTTTGTCATTTTGATCATGTGACTGATGTGATGTAAAAAAGTGTTTCCATTACAGTTTTGCAAAATACATATATTTCAATATGACCAAAAAAACCACCTCATTTTAGCGCAAAAACTTTTCTATCCAAAAACAAAATTGCTTTTTTCATCAAGTAAATTTATTTTTATCATTTCAATTTGTCCAGTGTTGTAGTTAATGGAAATGCAGCTATTGAGGAAAAAAGTTGTTTTTATTATTCAGTGTATGTAAACTTCTAATTTCAACTGATTGCTGTTTGAAATAATTTATTTTGCTTTACACAATGTGCAGGTGATAGGAACTCTCCCGCTGCTGTTGAACCCAGCGTCTCTGGCTGGAGGGACCGCAGCTCCCTCTCTGCCCCTGCAGGGTCTGCAGGTCCAGACCATCGCCCCACAGCTGCTCCTCAACACCCAGGGCCAAATTATCGCAACTGTGGGAAACGGACCTGCTGCCGTTGCAACTTCTGCTGCAGTTCTGCCCAAAACTACAGCTCCTACTACAGTTAACAAACCAAACGCTCAGGTAGAAAAACAAATCCTGTTTGAACTGAAGAAAAGCCCCAAAATAAACCAAATTAGTGACAATGAAATCAAAGGGGCGGTATTGTGTAAAATAGAGTTTTTGAACTGTACATCATGTCGTTATATTTTTATCTCACCAAAACATATCTGGAGTGTTGCCTTGATTCAAGGATATCCTTTAATCTCCAAGGCAACCATTCATCTATGCAAAACAGCTGGTGGACGTAGCTCCGCCTTTGAGGCGCAGCTCCTCCTTAAAGCTGCAGTTTCCAAGTTTTCAAGCTCTCAACTATCCCAGTAAGCTTCTTCAGACTAGACAGCAGGAATTAGCAAACACCTGGTGGAACTCTGCATCTACTGAGCTCATCATAAAAATGCTGTGATAACTTCCTGAAGGTGCGGCGTCCATAAAGAGCAGGAATTTTTAAAGACACAGAGGCCCAATTCCAAGGCTTTAAAAAAATATGTATGAAATTTATTTTATTTGACACAAATAATGTTTTAATAACAACTGAAGGTAGCGTACAGAAGTTACTCGATTTTGCTATAAAACAGCCTGGAAACCATAATACTGCCTCTTTAAGAGAGCAGAGAGGTGTGGAAGTTTCTGTTCATCCACAAATAAGCAGCATCTATAAATTGTGACCATTACTGTTTATTTTCAGTGACAAGTGTCACTCAGTCACCTGTTGTCATTGCACCGCAGCCGTCTGCACTGAAGAACTCGACCGCACTCACCTCAGCAGCACCCATCGCCTGTGGAGACATGGCCAAAGTGGGGCAGCTTGTCAGCAGTACGTACACCTGCTTCTCTACCCTCAGCAGAGGAATGTTTAAACAGCAGCCAGATATTTTTAACCAGGCTCCTCACAATTTCAGAGCCTCAGCAGGGAGTCAGCAGCGAGGAAGGGATTAATTTGGAGGAAATCCGAGAGTTTGCCAAGAACTTCAAGATCCGTCGGCTGTCGCTGGGCCTCACGCAGACACAAGTCGGGCAGGCCCTCACTGCGACGGAGGGTCCGGCGTACAGCCAGTCTGCCATTTGCAGGTAAGTGACTCACCTGTTCTTTTTCTGCCGTCACTGCTTAGAAGCTTTCCTCTGTGTTTCCTCTTGTAAAAGTGCCAGTGTTTCATCACATGCTGACGCTGTGTGCAATGCGTCAGACAGCTCTTCTTCACAGCCAAAACGTTGACTCACAGAGGAAGAGAACGTTTTTGATGATCGTATTCTGCTAAGGAACAAGTGGAACGGTCCACTGAAAGAGAGGATGTGCTTTTTACTGTATATATATTGATATATCACTGGAAACAGATCCTATTTGAAACACCTATTTAAATTAATTAGAGTACATTCCCCATAAATGGTTATACAAAAGTATTCACATCTATTTTTCACATTTTATGTCGTTTCAGCCACAAATGTGTTAACGTGTTTCATTTAGATTTTATGCAACAGATTATTGAAAGTGTTCTGTGTGTTGCCATTCAACCGCCTTTATTGATCCTATTGATCCTAAATGAAATTAAAAGCTTAAAATGCTATCAAAAGCCACCTAATTGGTAAATAGAATCCACAGGTGACATATTATGCTTCCTTTAACTGGTTATGATAGGTCAATGCACAAAATCATTCTTGGATCATGAAAATTTAGTGTGATTAGTTCTGCCTATTTTGAGAACCTATTTTCACAATTACCTGTTTTTGAAACGGCTAATTTTCTAGACATCAAAAAATATTAACTTATTGCATATTTCTTGTTCTTTAAAAACTCTAGACTGTTTTTTAGAAGCAGTAGTGACCCAAATGGACGTACAAAAATGTGTAAAATTAGAATTTTGAATACGTTTCTTTTAAAAGTCATATTGTAAAGATCCATTTTGAGGTTTTTCTGTCATTTCTATTGTTGATTGGAAAAGTTTTCCCTCCTTTCTGCCTCAGGTTTGAAAAGCTTGACATCACCCCCAAGAGCGCTCAGAAGCTAAAACCGGTTTTAGAGAAGTGGCTGGCTGAGGCCGAGCACTGGAACCAGAAAGGCCAGCAGAACCTAATGGAGTTCGTTGGCGGCGAACCGTCCAAAAAGCGCAAACGCCGCACCAGTTTTACGCCGCAGGCGATCGAGGTCCTTAACTCCTACTTTGAGAAGAACGCTCTGCCTACAGGGCAGGAGATTACAGAGATTGCAAGAGAACTGAATTATGACAGAGAGGTGGTCCGGGTCTGGTTCTGCAACAGACGACAGACACTGAAGAACACAAGCAAGATCAACGTCTTCCAGGTTTAGGAGCAACCTCATTCTCATCCTCATTAGGGTGGGTGGAAAATTGAATTAGTTTTTTTTTTTTTTTTTAAATCAAGAACATTGTAAAGTTGTGTATGAAAAACGAGTTAGAACTGTGTTCTCAAGTTGTGTATGTAAACACAGTTGGTGCATACTCAGTTACACTGCATGGTCCTTTTGTTTTACAGTTTTACACTGCAAAACCCCACCAAGTAATTTTAGTCTAGTTTCTGATGCAAATGTATCAGTACATTTAATAAGACAAAATAACTTTTCAGCTAGACATACAAGGTTTTACTTGTACATTGGCAGATTATTTCACTTATAACACAACAATTTTTCATGTTATGCCTGAAATAATCTAATGGAACAAAGGAAAGAATTTATTGACTTAAAACAATAAATCTTATTTTAAGTTCACACTTGTGCTTGAAACTGGACCAAAAATACTTTGGTGTCAAGATTTTGTGTTTTTGCAGTGTAACATGCCATATTTAAGAAACTTGAGCTACCTTTTTTTAATAAGTGGTTTTATAAGCTAACCCTTCTCATATATTTTAAGTTTCTGTACAGTATCTGTTTTGTTCTTTTATATATTATTCTCTCATTAGCATATTTGAAAAATATGCAGAATAATAGGACAGTTTTAGCTGGTCGTTTTCCTGGAGGTTCATCAGACTCTGAAAAGGCAATAACCTTATTTTCAGTTTTAAGTGTTTACAGAACACCAGTTACTTTAATTCTGCCCAGCGCTTTGGGACAATCACCTCTTTGATAGATAATCAGAAATGAGCTCGTTCTTTCTCATTTGGTCAAACCGCGTGAACTCAGTCACAATCTCAGCTTTGATTACATTGGACTGCAGACACACCAGGTTTGTTGGAAACTAAAACTGTGGGTGTCTCTTTTTCATGTGTCATGGCTGAATGTGTGACTTTGGTGACTATGATACATGAACACACCAATCTGTCTTTTGAACTTTATTTTTAAATGCTTGTTTTGTTCAAAGGACATTTTGCCTCATTACCTAATATCTGTAAGTAAAAACTTAGGAATATATTTATTGGCATCTCTGGCAAAGATGTGTCAAAAAGCCCTAAAATAAATTAATCTTTCTTCGGAGTTCAGTGGAGAAAAACATTATTAGTTATTCTTTGGCTCACTTCAAGTGTTTGTGGTGAAAAGATAATTCTGTGCATCTTTTTACCAAAACATTTTTATGTTTGTAAGGATAAATTAAGCTTTCTCTGCTATTTCTCATACAAATGGTTGACATGGAAACTTGGTGACTTGTACTTCTAGGGCTTTAAATTTGAGCGTCAGAGTTTTATTTTAGTAAAGTAAATTTGGATTCTTATGCAGCCTTGCAACTAAAATAAATTCCTCCCTGACTTATGTTTTATTCACAACAGAAAGTCGTTGATTACCAGATAATAGAGATGTATAAAAAAACAATGCTCCAATTATGTTTATTTGAGAAAGAATTGTTGATATGGTTTTTGAATGTACTCATAAGTTATATCTACAATTGGTTTATTTTAAAGCTATTTGTAACTAGGAGTGCCAACAACTTCATCCTAACAGGCCTGTATGGAGCCTAATATAAGTTGATATAGATTTTACTGCCAAGTTTTTTGATGTTCCTCGTAAAATTTGAAATCAAACTCCTTAAACTAATAAAAATATAAAAACATGATCAGCTTAGCTGCGTGGAGAAATGCAGATTGTTTGGTTTAGAACATTTAGTTTGAACAAATTTATGGATTTCACATGGAAACATTCTTTGGCAGTTCTCTTTCTCCTTCCCGTTATTTAAGAATTCGTTTGCACTTTAGTGAAAGCAGGGAAAGTGAATGAGCTGCTTGCAATCACGATGTCAGTGTAGTACCAGATTTACGTGTTTTGGAAAAAAATAAAGAGGTTTTTTGTTTACTGCTATCGATTAGTAAGAAGCTTTTGGAAAATGTAGCAGTACCCTACAGGCAAAATGGCAAAACTTTTATTTACTATATATGCAGATGAAAAAATGTAAATTACTACAATTTTTTTACTAATATGCATAAATACAAAATGTTTTGAGTTTGTGAAATCATATCTTAATAAATGATGCATTTTATGCTCTATCTCATGGTTGCCTTATGGGCTTTTAATGCAGTATACCTAACCATAAAAACATGAGTCTTGGTTTAAAATGCTCAGCAATTTAAAAAAATATTTAATTATGTTTTGTTGTAAGTTATGTAATAAAGAAAAGTTAAAACATTATTTCAGAATAAATAAAAGGTACTACTCATTTCACTTAGCAAGCTGTTGATGTTTCAGATCTCCACAAAATAAACATTCAATGATTTTTGTCTTTTTTTGTCAAAAGAATAAACCATCTTTAACAAATACTTGCATGTATTTGTATTTGTATTTGTATTTGTATTGGTTGTCATTTAAATCATTATTATTTTTATATCACACCAACCTGATGACTCTCTCCATTTTTTTATTCCCACATGTCCTCTGTTGACATTTCAGGCATAACCTATGGAGACGTTGGTTACCTGTGTTTATCTCTTTTCTCTACAATAAGGATTTATAGAGATCATATTCTGATTGCATAATTGATCTTAATTGATATGAAATTGCAGGTGTTACCAAAGTAGGTGGGTGGCATTAATGAAATGGAAACCTTTGTTTCTATGACCTTGTAACTTTTCTTAGGTGTGTCCTAATTGGATATATCAATGTTAGCTTTGTTTTTAAAGCATTATACAACAAACAAGTTGAACTGCTGCAATGCAAAAGATAAGGATTTGAAAGTCATAAAGCATTAATAGGATAATTTACTAGTTTAGAAACAAATACAACACTCTAACTAATAGAAATATTAAAGTTATCAGTTATTCTAATGGGATTTACCTGTGTTTAAATCTATCAGTCCTCCCATCAACTCCAAGTACTGTACTGAGTAAATTATACAGAGATTGATTCTACTTAAAAATTTTGAAAAACAGTTGGTTGCACTGGATTTTATTTTGGAGCGATAGAGTAAACCTAGAAATGTCTCAATTAATAGAACAAAATAGAATAGAAATAATGTGTAATGTTGCTCAGTGGGGAAATTCAGGTGAACTGGCAGCAAGTTGAAGCATGTACATTTACACAAAAATAAAAAATATAAAAGTACAGGTAAGAATAATATACAAAGGATAAATTTACAACATTACAGCACTTTGAAATGATTAATAATAGCATAATCAGATTCAAAGAAACTGAATTGATCCAACTGAGAAGGATGAATTAAAAATTTTGCAAAATGTATATTTTTGTATAAAACAGCAATTTAAAAGAAATGAAAAAATGGCACAAGTATGTTATTTAAATTATAAAAACTACAAGTAATAGGAATGTAAACACGAATGTTTGTTAAGTGTCGTTTTCACCCGCTTTCTGTTTGCCACAGGAAGCGTTGTATTTATACTTTTATTTAACAAACAGTGAATTAATTGTTGTATGTCTGTCACATCTAATATGACAAAATATGGAAAAAATATAACGTGTACCATCACTTGTCCAGAAGGTGGCGGCAGTGAGCACAAACGTTCCTTTGCTCTCCCGGTCAGTTCCAAAAGAGAAAGAGGAGAAACAGGAAATTACGGCGGCTCCTTTCCGACGAAGCAAGATAAACAAACGATGTTATATTACATTATGTAATATTTAGAACTCTGGTTTAATTTTCTTCATCATTGTCCGTATAGATATAGCAAACAGCAGCAGCCAGTTGAGGTGGACAGCCAGAAGCGAAGAAGAGGAGGAGCTAGCAGCATCTTGGCGTTGCTAAGCTAACCTGCTCGTCATGTTTATTTTAGTGAGAATGAGCGCGACATGATCATGGCATGGAAGTATAGATGTATTTGAATAAATATACGTATTTAATTTAAAGGTAAGAGTTATTTACAGTAAAAGTGTCGCGTTTGTTAAAGAAAAACAAAAACAATGTGTGATTCCCTGTATTGTCTTTGGCTTTCTGGCAGAAAAACGTGACGAATTCAACACCGTTAATTTTAATGCAAACATGCGTCGTTTCCTGTTATCAACATGCTTTGTCGTGGCAGGATTTTCCACGCTCATTAAATATTAATCTATTTAATTTTTTTGTCCTGTAAACTTTTGAAGGTTGCAGGTCACAGGTGAAACCTTCGCTTCTTAAAGAAAAAATAAAAAACAGCGCAGCGTCAGCATGGCGTGGGCTCTGAAGCTGCCCCTCACGGACGAAGTGATCGAGTCCGGACTGGTCCAGGACTTTGATGCAAGTCTCTCCGGGATAGGGCAGGAGCTTGGTGCTGGGGCGTACAGTATGAGGTATGTGGAGGATAAAACCTCCATGCTGTTTTTGGTGTTGATGTGTATCTAAATGCTGCAGAAAATACTGCATTTTATTATAGTAGAGCATCAACAAGAAGTTCATGCGTTTCAAAAAAATTAATTCAAAGCAGTATAAGTAAGTTTGTGAATTTCAGTTCATTTTGTAATTTACAGATTATGATTTATGAAAACCCAAAATCTAGTTTGTTACAAAATAGAAAATCACATCAGACCAGTTTAAAGTAATTTTTGATTAAGAAATTTTATTTAGTGGACTACACAATCATGGCGAACGCAACTGACTTGACAGTCCTTGCAGTTGGCAGAAATTGAGTGGAAGGAAAAAGTGTGTTAGAAAAGGGTAAGATTCAAAAGGCATGGTTTAAGAAATGCAACACACAGATGTATGTAACTATTAACTTTTGAGTTGGGCACAGAATGGTCTTACCTAACTGAAGAATAAAAATGCTTTGCTTCTTCCAAAGTCCTCTTTTTCAGAAGTAAATATGTTACGCATTTCACTTGAAAACGAAGGCTTAGAAAAAACAAACTTTATGGAGATTCTGCTTTATTTTATTAAGATTTTAAAAAAAAATTTTATAGTATTTCGCATTTGCCCACACTGCTAAAACACCTTCTTTAAAAACCACGGTATCTGTGCGCTTGATTAACCAACAAACTGGCCTTATTTACAGCAATTTATTTTATATCAGATTAAATGATTATACAACAGAGTACTGCATTGAATAATCAGTTACTAAAAGAATCATTAGCTGCATCCCTAATTTAGTTTGCTTCGCAGCTTTTATTTCAATTACATAAAAATATCTGTGAATTCTAAGTTTCACTGGATTGCATTAGTGCTCTACATTTCAGTATTATATCTGGCTAATTTAATGGACCCTAACTACTCATAACAACAATTACTAAAATTTATTTATGGTAAGTCCCCCTCAGGATAAATGAAATATGTCTTGGATTTGAAGTGACGTAAATTTTAATTGATTAAGATCCCAAACCTCACGGAGAATACTGGTGACACTACGTAACATAGATGTTATTAATGTTGACATCTCAAATTAATCAATAGTACTACGACCGCATGTTGTTCAGATATCATGGAACAACTATAATGTAGATATTATATTATTATTAGAAACATTTCAGGCATATTACTATGAAAACATTTTATAATAATTTGTGAATTAGGTTATATTGATGTAGTTTTGATAAATAAGAATTAAAAAGTGTTTATATCTTTCAGCTTCAGACAATAGGAAACATGGACTTTAGTTAATTAGCAGGTTTCAATTAAAAAGTTGCTTCTGGCAAACTAAACATCATTAGTTTGTTTCTGCAATTTGCTGTTTTGATGAAACGTGTGGATAAAATCAATTCATATACAACTCAGTTTCAAATTCTCACGTTTGAGACTTTCTTGGTAAATACATACATTTTCCTAATGTTGAGTCCTTTGTAGCTCAGATCAGTACTTTGCTTCATGGGTGATGAATCCATCTGTTCCCTTAAGTGCCTGACTGTGGCCAGAATTCCTGTGTTGAGAGGAGCGGGGACTCCTGACCTGGAAACGTTGGTATTTAGTGGTGTTTGCTCCCAGTTCTAGTTAACAAGCTAAACAGCAGGAGAACAACACGACTCATGATTCAGCCTAGAGCTCTTCTCCAGCAGCTCTGTCCTGTTTATAATTCATTCTATAGCCCTTATAAGATTATTACCTTTTAGGTTTGTTTTATGGAAGGAATGAATGTGAGGTGAGAGTTTTGTTGTTAACACTTTTCTCATGGCTTTCCTCTGCAGCGACGTGCTCGCCCTCCCCATCTTCAAACAGGAGGAGTCCAACTTACCTCCAGAAACT